ATATATATAGAGCAATAATCCAATGCAACGATGATATCATAGTATAATGCAATGACACTTCTAGAAAACCATGTTTGTGGTATTTGTATGACCCCAAATTTTTCACAAACACTCTCTTCATCTCAATAATCAATCCCAACAAAAAAAATGAATCTTCTCCAAAAACGAATCTAGGCCATTCATTTTGTGAATTTTAAAATCGTAGCCTTTACAAATTCAAAATCATTTTGTTCTTTTTTAACATTGTTCATCTAATGATAATAAAGCCATCAAAAAAATTGGAAATGAAAAAAATCCTTCTAAAGCCTAAATCTAAGTATCTTACCAAAATGAACGGCCTATGTTAATTGGGCCAAAAAATACTTTCTAGCTTGTGTTTTCAATTCTTGTCTTTTCTTGTGATTGTTCATTAGAATGAAAAGAGTGTTTATTTCAAAATTTGGATCAAACAAATGGTCATGGTTTTTTAAAGTTGTCGCATCATATTACTAAACAACGGTTGCATGAAATCATTGCCCATATAGAGCAATATATATATATATATATATATACACACACACACTGAGCAATGATCTAATACAACAGTTGTATCATAGCATAATGCAACTACATTCTAGAAAACCATGTTTGTGGTCTTTTTATGACCACAAATTTGCACACACTCTCTTCATCACAATAATCAATCCCAAAAAAAAAATTGAATTTGAACCCTAGATATGGTCAAAATGAATCCTCCCCCAAAACAAATCTAGATCATTCATTTTGTGAATTTCAAAATCTTCGCCTTTATCAACTCAAAATCATTTTTTTCTTTTTTAATATTGTTCATCTAATGATAATAAAACCATCCAAAAAATTGGAAATGAAAAAATCATTTTAAAGCCTAGATCTAAGCATCTCTCACCAAAATGAACAGTCTATGTTAATTGGGAAAAATACTTTCTAAGTTGTGTTTTAAATTATTATTATTATTATTATTTTTTGTAACTATTCATTAGAATAAAGAAAGTGTATATTTCAAATTTTGGATCAAACAAATGGCTATAAGATGGATTTTTAAGGTTGTTGCATCATATTGCTATACAATTGCATGAAATCACTACTCAGTCCAATCCTTACCCTTGTAACCAAAGCTTTTACCTTTTCAATTGATATGTATCAACATTATAGGTCCCTTTTGGCACAATACACAAGATTTCAGGGTCAGCGTAAAATGCTAAATATCGGAGTCAAGGCATTTAATTATTCCCCTCTCTTCAGTTGAGTGGGTAAAACCGAAGGCTTCGGCTTTTTCGGCCGAAACAAACCGAATTTAACAACAGCAGCCGGAACATGAATTCCATTCCTACCGCAGATAAAAGACCCATCCCCACTGAACTACCAAAAAAGAAAAAGCATAAACGCCCAAATCCAAAATTCTTTAATTCGGAGTTTTGATTCAATGATCTTTCACATGTATCTACAGAGCGTTCTAATATCATTGGAAAACGACAGAAAACAAGAGAGCAAAACAAAAAAAAAACACAGAATCGGGCACAAAAATGGAGATGTCCAAAAATTGTCCTATTATAAGCGAAACATCCTTCATGAACATCCCAAAAATATTATTATTTACAGTGTACAACAATTATTTAATATTACAGCAAGAAATAGTACAAGTTTTCCAAAGAAAAGTATCACAAGCACTTTGGAGAATAAGATTGAATCTGGGTTGATATATTACAGCAAGAAAATAGTACAAGTTTTCCAAAGAAAAGTATCACTAGCACTTTGGAGAATGAGATTGAATCTGGGTTGATATAAGGGCTACAAATTAACTTTGTTAGAACTTTTTACAAACTTTGCTCACATGAAAATAGCGACTTCAATGCATCTTTATAGGGCGCACTCCATACAAAAAAATAATTAAAATAAAAATACCGAAATATCCCATAAACATTTAGCGATATTTTGGTTATTTGTATTATAATTATTTTTCTTTGTTTTTATGGAGTCGAATTTCATTAGAATACATTCAAACGATAATAATAATAAATAAACAAAATTAGTTTGTGGCGCCCAATTCAATCCAAGCCGTTGAATGGTGCTTGTGTGCCCTTCAGGCATCCATAAGATGTGTACACTATGACGTTCCATTTTATAATATGACCAAAGTGCCCCTATATAGCCAGGGGCATAATTATCTCTGTAGAAAGTTGGAGAGGAAGTGAGACCCTCCGAAACAAAGAAACAACCAGAGTTGGATCCCGTGCTCTCTCCATCATTTCATTGTATGCACACTGTGATCTGATCTTTCCATATTCCATTAAATTGTAATGATTTGGTGAGAAACTATGCGACACAGAGACAAAAGAAAGATGAGTAGCCCTTACCGGCGCATCAGAAGAACCCTGACCAACCAAAAGTTCAGGGCATTTTCACATCCAGAAGACGCGCCAAGCGAAATAGAACCTTCTGCTACCATCTCTTCGAGATTGTGCTCTCCCCCATGAAAGAGGGAGCCTTTACCAGCCAAAAATGCAAGGAATCTTCACACCTTGAACACACACCAGATGAAAAGAAACTTCTCCCACCTCTTAGAGTTTGCACTTTGCCCCATGGAGGAAGAATCTTTTATCAGCCAAAAGTTCAAGGAATTTTCACACCCAGAAAACACACCAGGTGGTCCCTGTAGAAAGAGATCACAGAGATGGAAACACTCCTTAGCAGGGAGAGGCAGAAAGAGAGCCCATGCTCATCCTGCAATAGTTAGGTGCAGATAAATGTCCCGGCTCATATTGCAACGAAACAGTTACCATCACTGTTTGAAATCCCAGCGATCCGGATCAGGAATCGCCAATCCAAACAGGAATCCGCTGAGACTGAACCAGTTTCATCATCATCATCGTCAAAGCTTTTCCCAAATAATTGGGGGTCCACTACACGAATCCTGAGTGAGGTCGCGACTGAATCGGTTTCAAAAACAAAAAACATATAAAAACAAAAAAACAAAAAATAAAAAACAAATAAGGGCTATTTCTAAGAGGGTCAGGGAAGGCCGTGCTCCCATATTTCAGCTCCCACACCCCATGTCAAACATGGAAGGGTTGATTGGTGAAACTTGGGCCTCCCACTCCCCAAAACTTCCACCAATCAAACACGTACTAAAGTTTACTTAAATGATTATCATAATTTAAATAACCCAACATATTAAGACTTACCTGGAACAAACGAGTGGAAGTTAGTATTCAAGAATGTCCAATATCACTTTGCTTCCAGCCATTTCAGAACAAATGTTGGGGGACTGTGAAGCAAGCCAACACACCCATACATGAAGACAAGAACATATTCAACTTCCAAAGAATAAATAGTATATAACAAAAAATAATAAATATGTAAAAAAAAATCAACTCATCCATCTTTTAGAACACTCCATATGAGGAACTCGCATAACACCCCTGATTATATATGCATCAAAGCAACAAACCATGATCATGGTAACATGGCCCAGATTCAGTCTAAGTGTTGGGTTTTAAACAAGTTTATTAGGGAAAGAAATACATGACAAAGTGCACTCAATACTAAGAGGGGAAGAAAGGGAAACAGAAAAAGGACCAGGGGGTCTCACCTTATCATTTAAGATCAGTTCAGAAAAGGTATGTCGCAGGAAACCAGTTCCTGCTGGGAAAGTACAACCCCAAGCTGCATAAGATTCAAATGTAGTTTGAAATATAGATGTATCAGAGGTGAAAGTGTTGAAATGCATGGATAGGCAACAACATATATATATATATATATATATATATATATATATATATATAGTAGAGAGAGAGAGAGAGAGAGAGACACACACACACACACACACACACATGGATTAAGCATACCGAAGGCAGATGAAACTCTGATGACAGATTCATCACCAAATTGGAAGGAGAAGCTTCTAGCCTTTTCAGTCACAAATGTAAAGTCAAATGAGAAGACATCCTCTACCATGACTGGATGCTTATTTGCTAGGATGCCAAATGATATCCTGCTTCGAAGAGACATGTTCCAGATAGTAAATTCTCATGGAAGGGAAAATCAGATCTCAATATTACATGTTAATAATATCTAATTCAAATGTACATAAAAGCTCAAAGTTCCAAACAAAGAATCATAACACCAGACTGCTCTCTAGAAAGACTGGTATACTTTGAATTGACAGGTTTGTGATCCTTAATGGTTCGAGCAACAGCCATGTCAACTATAATTGACCAAACAAAGTGACTTCTACAGTAACAAATCAGAGCCCATTTCGATGGGAGAAATAGGAGCCAGCTAGGTCTGCAGGTTTTTTGAATTTTCATTTTATTTTTTGCAAAATCAACTTTTGGTGTTAAAAGAAGGTAAAGTGATGGACATTTACAACTGGAAATTGGTATACAAATTGTGGTAGATAGGAGTTTTGTACAAAATGATTACAAAAAAAGATGAATTATATTCCTACTTAAGATTGGGACTTTATGATCGTGTCATTTGTTAAATAGGAGTTTTGTACAAAATGATTGCAAAAACAGATGAATTATATTCCTACTTAAGATTGTGACCTTATGATCGTATCGTTGTTTGAAGAGGTGCTGTCTTTTGCAAGGGAATCAGCAGCTCCATATGTGTCTAGAAGACTATTGTATGAGGCAGGACAACTCAAAGATTTGGTTGAAGATGGTTTCAAGACTTCATGGACAGGGTGTTGTTTATCTCACTCAATTTATCACATTTATTAAGTCTCCCTTGATCAAGGGAGGGGATCCCCAACAGCTCTTGAACAGTTTGAGGCCTCTGAGCAGCCTCAGCCAGGGTAGAGTTCGTGTGTCTGATAGGACCCAACTAAACAAGTATGATTTTAGCAGTATGGCTAGCTCCACAGGTATTATGTGGCGTCTCAGATATTCTAATGGCCAAGATTGTGGATGGGCTGGTAAAACTAAGTGTGGCACTAGAAAACATTAGCAAAAGGCTAGGGATTCTGATAGCATAGATTTCTTTGGGCAGGCGCAACTCTTTGTATTTACCATCGATGTTACCACTTAAAGAAATGAGCTATTTCTCATTCTCTACATAAGTTATCATAGTTATATACCATTGACACCATTGACAGAGAAAAATTGGGCACCAAGAAAATTTAAGAAAAAAAATATTAAGTCTTGAAGATACTAAGCAAATGCGAAGGTTTCAAAAAACGGCCCCTTGGTGGTCGGCCTGACGCCCAGGCGAGCGCCCTGAACTTCAAGGGCCTTGTAGTGTAAATTCCAGCGTTTCAAAAAGCGCTAGGCGAGTCCAGGCCACCTAGGCGGGCGCCCAGCCTAGGCGGCGTAGTAGAAATTTTTTTTGGGGAGGGTTTTCTCCATCTAAAATAGCCTCGGTTTTAGATTTCAAATGAACCTAAAACCCACAAGTTTGCACCTCATTAGTATTAAAAAAAATGATTTCAAATGAACCTAAAACCCACAATTTTGGCCCTCCTTTAGTATTAAAAAAAATGACCCCCAACGTTTGAGCGGGCGGGGCAAAAACCCTAAGTGGGTTAAGGGGGGTGCCTAAGGATATCCGCCTAGTTTAAAAAAAATGATTTCAAATGAACCTAAAACTTACAATTTTGGCCCTCTTTAGTATTAAGAAAAATGATGCAAACCCTTGGGCCGCATTTCTGCCCCTGGGAGAGGCGAAAACCCTAAGTGGGTTCAGGCGGGCGCCTAAGGATATCCACCTAGTTTGGCCGCCTAGGCGCATGGCAATCCGCTTTTTAAAACTATGGTAAATTCATAAAAAAAAATGTATATATGTGTTGTCCAAACGTACATATATGCTATTTATGTCAATTTTATAATTTATTAGCTTTGAAAATTTTATATCCAAACATATGACATTTTTTAAAATAACCCCATAACCTATTTAAACTTTTGGGGGTCAAAATTACCCCTTTTGCCCTTTTGGACATCTTTAAAAATCTTTAAAAATAAAAAAAAGCCACATCCCTGACGTCGGCCTAGGTGCCTACCTAGCCTGCAGGCCAGCTCGGGGTGCCCTCCTGGGCATCCGCCCAAGTACATCCACCAAGAATGGGGTGTCCAAGTCCGGTCAGAGTATCTTGGCCGCCCAAGTACATCCACCTAGAGATGGGGTGTCCAAGTCCGGTCAGAGGTATCTTGGGCACCCAAGTACATCCACCTAGAATGGGGAGTCCAAGTACGGTCAGAGGTATCTTGGGCGCCCAAGTACATCCACCTAGAATGGGGCGTCCGCCCAAGTACATCCACCTAGAATGGGGCGTCTAAGTCCGGTCAGAGGTATCTTGGGCGCCCAAGTACATCCACCTAGAATGGGGCATCCAAGTCCGGTTAGAGGTATCTTGGGCGCCTAAATACATCCACCTAGAATGAGACGTCCAAGTCCAGGCGCCTAGGCACCAGGCGAACTGTTTTCTGAAACCTGCCCCAAATGCATCCTGAAATGGGAGTATAAATAAATGAAAGCCTATTGCTATTGTCAGTGAATTAATATTGCATAAAACATGAGAAACCTGCCCCAAATGCATCTTGAAATAGGAGTATAAATAAGTGAAAGCCTATTGCTATTGCAAGTGAATTAATATTGCACAAAACATGAACAAGAGACAACAAGAATATAACAATTACCATCCAACATGTGCTGTCCAAAAGCTGAAGTGCTTCATCGCGCCTATTAATCTTGCAGAGTCCCTTAATGAGGCAAAAGAATATGGACAGTTCGGGAATGTGACCCATCCTTGTCATGTCAGCATATAGTTCAAAAGCCTTCTCAATCTTGCCTGCTAAGGACAGTCCTTCAATCAAAGAAGAATATGCAGTTTTTTGAGCAAAACATGGTTGGACAGTAGACACGGACACCATCTCCTTATGTAATTCTAATGCGACTTCCAATCTCCCTGCCTTGCAAAGGCTATCAATTAGAATACTATAAGCAGGAACCATAGGAAACATATTGTATTCAGATATTTCATGTAAGAGCCCAAGAGAATTTATGAACTCTATACTGAACCCTTGAATCACATCCTTGAACCAGAGAGCATGGGGAGGCCAATAAGTTTGTTTCATCTCATCAAGAAGCCCACAAGCTTCATCCAAAAGGCCTGCAGCACAACAGTGATTTATTAATACCCGATAAGTGACAATATTTGGAGCGCACCCCTTTTCAGCCATCTCTCTCAGAAGCTTGAGCCCGAGATCAACTTTCCCAACTTTCCCATACCCATCAATCATTGCGGTGTAAGTTACCACGTTTGGGTGGCACCCCTTCTCTTCCATCATAACCAGAAGCCTAGAAGCTTCATCGGTCTTCCCAACTTTACATAGCCCATCGATCATCTCGGTGTATGTTACAACATTTGGTGAGCAAGAATTCTCGAGCATTTTGGATAGCACCTTAATTGCAAGATCAAGCCTCTTATCCTTGAACAGCCTATCTATCAAGGAGCTGTATGTGTACACATTTGGGCTGTAACCACATTCCACCATCTTGGCAAAGACCTTTTGCGCTTCATCCAACTTACCCACCTTGCAAAACCCATCAATGAGAGCATCATAAACGACATTGTTTGCCAGACAACCATCTTTGCCCATCGCTTCCAAAAGCTCATGGGCCTCAGACACTTTGTGGGCTTTGCACAAACCATCAACCAGAGCACCATAAGTAAAGACATTTGGCTCCATGCCAGCTTCACTTCCAAAATATACATCCACATCCACTTTAATGCCACTTCCCCTCATTCTCTCATAGACCCGACAAGCTTTGTCAACCTCTCCAGCCTTGCAAAGTCCATCAATAAGAGCTGTGTATGTAACAATATTTGGGGCACACCCCATAGAAAGCATCCTTTCAAACAGATCATTCGCCTCAATTAAGCGCCTCGTTTTAAGGTATGCATGTATAAGGGTGGTATAAGTGACAACATTAGGAAGGCAACCATCCCTTGTCATTTCATCAAACCAGTTTCTCCCCTGTTGAATAAGCCCAACCTTGCAAAAACTATCGATCAAAATAGTGTAAGTGAAAACATTAGGAACTATATTGTTCTTCTTCATTTCCTCAAACAAAAGTAAGGCCTTATCCACTTTATCAGCCTGGCAAAGTAACTCAACAACCTTTGTATAAGTGCTCGAATCCGGTATGAAGCCCTTAGTCATCAAATCTCTTATGACCACAATCGCCTTTTCGAATTTCCCTCTTGCACAAAGGCATCGGGTGAAACCCACAACATTTACCTTGTTCAATACACATCCTGCATCTAACATCTCCTCATACACTCTTTCGGCCAATTCCATAGCTTCAATGGTTGGTGGGTCTTCCCTCCCAAAAATCCCTCCTATCAAGATATTGTAAATTACATAACCTGGGCGGCAACCACAAACCCTCATCTTCTTTACCAATTTGTAAGCATAAGCAAACTCTCTAGACTTGCAATAAGCATGGACTAGAGAATTGAATATCGATGGACTGGGATGAAGGCCCTCCGAGGTCATCTGATTCAGAATTCTCCTACACCTATTCAGCTGTCCGGCTTTTAAAAAGCTCATGAGCAAATTCCTATATGTCACAACATTAGGGAAGCAAGAATTCGATCGCATTCTGTGAAGGAACGATATTGCCTCCTCTAAAAGGGAGGCCTCACACAACCCACTTATCATTTTGTTGTATAAAACAGTATCAGGCACAAAATCTTCCTTGTCAATGATGTTAAGTGCTTCTCGCCACTTACCAGCCTTACACAGGGTGCGGGCGAAGCAACCCAGAGTAAATCCATCCAAATTCAAACCAGCATTGCCCATTTCAGTATAGACCTGAGACGCCAATTCGAGCTGATTGGCTAGTAAGAGGACCTGAATCAATGCGTAGTAAGTTGTTCTACTGGGTCGATTGCCACAATCCTTTAGCCTTCCGAGCTCCTCTATCGCTTCTTTCCAGAACCCGCCTTTGCTGCATTTCCTAATAAGCACATTCAACAACCGCCCCAACATCTCACCGTCTTCCTCCTTGATTTCCGATAGAAATTCTACAGGAATTTGCACCCTTCTATCGACTGCCAAAACCTCTAACAGTGCATCATATGTTGCACCGACATGTTGATACCCAATTTGGCGTCCTGCCCAAATGAAGAACTTGACGCACAATTCAGGGCATTTCAATAGTTTTAGAACATCAATAACCAGTGAATGCTTCAGCTTCTCTCTAAAAGGCCTAAGTGATTTGGGCATCTCATCACCCCAATTGGTACCATTAGTCCTGATTAGTTCACAGAGCAACAAAGCCTCATCTGAGAACTTACCAGGATGGAGCTTAGCTTCGTTTTTCATAAAGTCGGCATCATAGTCATAAATGGACTGAAAAAGGAAGGAGAACTCTTCATGAGCTGGTCTGGAAATCATTTCGACGGGCACTTCCAGAGACCCGTTTCCACCATTTATGCAAAAATCAGAGTCACCCAACCCACTGAGATCCTCTGGTGATTGAGAAGAGGAGCAAAAGGTAAGACGATGGGTGTTCTTGAATGGGTGCTTACGCTTTCTAGGAGAGAAGAAATGGGTATTTTGCTTGAAGGCAGTAGAGACCACTGCGTGAAACATGATGCCCATTCTTGGCCATGGCAAATTCATCCTCTCTCGACGGAACAATGGAACGACGAAGATTTGTATAGAGCCAGTATCCACAATGGACTCTTCAGAGAAGAAGAGTGTGAAATTAGGGAGGAGATTTTCTGCAATGGTGACTTTCAAGAGAAGAAGAAGAGGAAGCCATTAGAGGAGCATGATGTTGGACACCCATTCTTTACTTCCCATAAAGCCCTAGAGTGGGTCACGGTTTCAGAAGGTTAGTTTTTACAAGTTTAGCCTTATCTTTCTCCTTAAAGCCAAAAATGAAAAAGGTGACCTTTAACTTTCACAAATATACCTTAATTACCTCTCTCTTTCTTCTTTTTTTTTTTTTTTTTTTTTTTTAACAATTACGGTAGTTAAAGTACCGTAAAAACTAAATTGTTATACGGTAAAAACTAATGTAATAAGATAAAAATTAACATCATTTTAAGTACGGTAAAAACTAATTCATCTAATACAGTATTTTAAGTACCATAAACACTAACTAATGTAATACGGCATTTTACGTACCGTAAAAACTACCCATATCATACATTGTAAAAACTAACCCATGTTATACGGCACTCGAAATGCCGTAAATCATTTTCTACAGTTTATATTTATATTTATTTGTTTCATCATGTTTATATTTACCTCTTTCATCATAAACCATTTTATACAGTTTATATTTATATTTAGTTATTTCATCGTATTTATATTTATCTCTTTCATCTTTCTAATTTTTTTATGTTTTTCTCTTCTTTTCTCTTTAATTCTTTTTAATATTTATCTCTTCTTTCTTTCTCTAATTCTTTTTAATATTTATGTCTTCTTTCTTTTTTATTTCTTCTTTCTCTTCAATGAGATTTGTATAACCCCTGCATAGCTTACTATTCCCTATAAAAATTCCCTTCAACCTTATCCCAAATAAAAATTAGATGGAGTCATATTTATATCACCCAAATAAAAATTAGTTGGAGTCATATTTATATCACATTGGAATCGTGATAGTTGAGTTGATGACATCAGTAAAGAGAGAGAAAGAGAGGTAGGGAGATAAAAGATTTAGAGAGAGAAATAAGAGATAAACATAACAAAAATTTGGAGAGATGAAAAAGATAAATATTAACAGGATAAAAAATTTACGGCTGAGTGCCATATAACAAGGATTAGTTTATAGGGTAATTAAAATACCGTATAACATAGGTTAGTTTTTATGGTACTTAAAATCCCGTATAACATGGATTAGTTTTACAGTAATTAAGTTGTTAGGGTACTTAAAATGCCGTATATCATAGATTAGTTTTTAAGATATTTAAAATGCCATATAACATGGATTAGTTTTTACAGTAATTAAAGTACCGTAATTGGCTTCTTCAAAATTGTAGAAAAAAAAATGTTGGCAAGGTTTGTGAAAGTTGAGTGTTTTTTTTTTAATAAACAAAAATTAAGGTATACTTGTGATAATTTCCCTATTTTTAACCTCCAAGAGCTCTCGGCCATTATTTACCCAAAAGTAAATAAATAAATAAAAGAAAATTTTATATGAGGTTGACACCTTAAAATTAGAATTAAAGAGCACCTCTTCTTACATAAAAGATGTTATAAAAAAATTCAAATTTTAAAAATAGTGCATCTTGCAACACCTTATCTAGAGTGTCCATATTTCAATATTTTCATGGTTTACAAATATGCTTGATATGAGCCATATTTGGAGTTTACTCCCCCACCATCTTAAAAATTTTCAATACGTATCTCATGACAAAGTTTGGAAGAGCATCTTAATTTGATGGTTCAAGGTTTTAACTTTATGCAAACCACACCCATAATTTTAGCTACTAAAATATTTGTGTACATTTAATTTTTATTTATATGAAGCACCTAGACGAGACTTGCCTATATAAAATTTTTAAATTTTAATGTCCATTAAACTCTAACTTTTTGTGAAACAAATATATTTAGGGATTGTATGGTATGAGACTGTTTGATGTGAAATCCAAAATATTAAAGTACGTCTGATGATTTCAAATCCAACAAACAATGATAATTCTTACCTCGTTGTATCAAATGTAAATGGTCTCTTTGTATACATTTCCATAAATTAAAGCTGTCAAGCTTATATTGTTCTAAGAATCCATCGGCTAGAATGTGTTTTTCCTATTTATTGATGGATTTAATTATAATTATAAGGGTGAGGTTTATATAAGGTGTCAACTTTATACTATTGAAGTAAGGTGTACCTCAAAACTATATTGAAAATACTGTTTCGGTGCTACAAAGCCTTGCAATGGTATGAAAATTTGTTGCTTCTCCCAATTATGAAATTTAAAGTTCCAAAAATGGTGACAATCAAGCAGATCTATAAACACTTGGAAATCTTGAAAATAGACAATCCAGATAATATGTTAAAAGATAAACTATTTTTAGGATAAAAAATCCCTTTTTTTTTCATTTCTATGAATCTCGAAGTCGAGATGACCACTTTTTGAAGGCCTTCCAACACAAGAACAACCTTCTCTAACGGGATTTTCAGGTGCATCTTACTTTTACACCTTATATAAACTTCCTAATTTAAAGTTCAGAACAACTAAATCCACTCACTCAAACGCCTCAAGTAAATTTGAGTTCATAAGTTTGGCCACAAGTGGTAGGACAAAGCGTATTTTGATATTGTTCTAAATTCAATGGTTAAAAGATTTGGGAAAGCTTTATATGTTCCCCCTACGACATAGAAGTTCTATCTTCCGCCTACCATCTAGCTACCCATTTTTTATCAAGAGAGCTACTCACCGTTTGATCTTAGATCCGACGTCTCAAAGTATTTTATTTTTAGTTTTTTTAATACAATTTTTTTGAATATGAAATTCGGTACGTGTCATCTTCTCATTGAGGCACACCTATAAAAAAATATTAACAATAATTTTTAGATAAAAAATAATGACCAAAATACCCCTTAAAATATTAAAGGGTATTTTGGTCATTTTATTTTATTGAAAATATATTTTTATATTTTTCGTTAATGCTAGTTTAATAGAGAAATAGACGTTCAAAAATTGATGTCAAAATAGTATATAGAAAAAAAAAAAATAGTATAAAGATGTGACATTGTGATTGGAACAATCTTAGCCCTCCATTCAGAATGGACGGTTGGTTAGGGAGGACAGAACTTCTATGCTGTAGAGAAAACATAAAAAGCTTGCCCTTCGGTTTATATGGCGATAAAGAGAGAAGGTTCAAGAGCTACACAATAGTTGTATAGAGAGAAGGTTCAAGAGCTACACTATAGTTGTATAGAATCATACCCCAATGTGCAAAAATTTAGCAATAGTATTATTTGCCCTAATTAGTTAGGAAAAAGTTTTGAGGATGATGATTATTATTTGCTGTACGTACCGTTTAATTAAAAAAAAACAAAAAAAGAAAAAGAGACATGTATTCCCTCTAGCCCTTGACCACTTACAAATCCACATTTTCAGAACTGCACATAAAGCTATTACTTTGATATGGCGATTGGGGTGTCCAAACGAGGCCTACACAATGATAACTGACCTAGCCTACTCTGTTCAAATTCAAAATCTTGAACAGCGAATCAGTTCACATCCTCGCTCTTTTACTTTGAGAATGATCATCTTTTACAGAGTTGTTGACAACAAGAAGCTTATCAGGATGGTATTGTCCCTGTTCAGTGTGAGCAATCCGACTTTGCCATCTCATTGCATCAGCAACGTTCTTCACTTTCACAATCGTATCAACATGATCTCGAATTATAACAGCACCATGCGGACGTAAAATTCTATGCATCTCGAGGAGAATATCGACCATATCACACCTGCGAAAATCATAGCGCTTGTACAACTAAATCAAACACCACCAAAAATTATCAGCAAATAAAAAGTAGGATAAATATTTGGTTAGTCAGCCAGTTCATGCATCCACCACATTTTTTGTCGGACTTGAAACCCAAAATACATCCAAAGTCATTGTAAATCCATTTTGTCTCAAATCCAAGAATTTGGAGCAGCATAAATAGTTGATCTAATAATCTTTGAAAAACCAAAATGAACGGTCTGAAAATCAGTACAAAATAAATCATTGTTAAGGCTCAAAATTCATTATTTTATTTTTTCTAAATTTATAGTCATGATCTAGATGATATACCTGTAAAATTTGTCCAAAATTTATCATCGAGTTCGACTTTGTGAGGGTGGACCTGATGTAATGGGTGCATCCCTGGACGCACTTAAAACCCTACCTAAAGTATATATCGATCCCCCACAAAGAACCCCATTTGTCTTAGTTATGGATGACTTACTAGGCACCTACAAAATGAGATACCATGGTGCATGTTGTTCATAGACGACATAGCTTTGATTAGTGTTCGCAAAATCGAATCGGAATGGTTAACCGGACATGGGGCCAGAAGCAGTTCAATCGGCCTAACTAGTAAATTCAACCGTTCTAACGGGGCAAGTCCCGATCAGTTAAAAAAATTGTTGAAAAAAAAAAAGATACAAAAAAAATCTACTAAAATATAAAAAAATATAAAGAATGATTAAAAAAATACACATTCAAATGAAGTTGAAAATTAATAAAAAAATTGGATTTTACATAATTGATTTGTGCCTAAGGGTATTTTTAAAAATTTCCTAAAACGATGAGAAAATATAAACGTGAGTATTAATGACAAAACAATTTATAATCTTTACCAATCTTTACCATCATATAAATAATATTAAAAAGTGTATTACAAACCAAATTCCTTATTTTTTGAGATTTTATATACTTTTTTTTAATTATTTTTGTTAAAATACCGGCCGATCACCAAAACTGCCCAAAAACGGAACCGGCCAGTGGGTTTTGATCGATGAGACCCGAAAGGACGTCAACACAAAATTAGAACTTTGGAGGGATTCTCTACAATATATAGGTTTTAAACTTAGCCGGACTAAGACAGAATATATAGAATGCAAGTTTAGCAATAATATGAGTAGAGACGAAGAAGTAGTTAATATTAATGACCAAGAGACACAAAAACGAATGCATTTTTATATCTTGGGTTGATAATCAAGAAGAATAGAGATATTGAAGAAGATATCGCATATAGAATTAGAGTAGGTGGGTGAAGTAGAGATGTGCAAATGGAATTTTATGTGATTGCTGCAATACCAATGAAGCTAAAGGGCAAGTTCTGTAAGACAATTGGTCGACCAGCTTTGTTGTATGGGGTAGAATGTTGGGAAGTCAAAAAACAATATACCAAAAAAATGAACGTAGCAGAGATGAGGATATTGAGATGGATGAGTGGCAAGACAAGAGGAGATAGAGTTCGAAATGCATACATTCGAAAACTTTTAGGTGCAACACCAATAGGTGATAAGATGAGAGAGAGTAGACTTAGATGGGCTGGCCATGTATGGCGTAGACCCAGTACAACACTTGTTAGGAGGTACGAGTTAGTTCAAGTGGAAGGCTTAAAAAGAACAAAAGGTAGGTCCTAAAGGATATGGTTGGACGTAGTGAAAAAATATATAGGGACTTAAGGCTTCACTGAGGGAATGACCCTTAATAGAGCAGAATGTCAGATCAGGATTCGTGTAGCCGACCCCAATTAGTTGGAAAAAAGTTTTGACGATGATGATGAGATGATGTATGGAGAACCCCATTTCCCAAGCTCCCTAGATTGAAACTTCCAACAATAAGGTACATTAACTGCATTGGGAGAAAAGAAAGATGAAGAGAAATGAAGACATCATTATGATTAACAAAAGAATGTACACAAGGTTTGGAGGCGCTTAATGCTTTTTTCATTAATAGATCAGACAAAGAGGCGGCTTACTTGTCCTTGTACAAGCTGAAAACTCCATTTGCATGTATTAGATCATATGTGCGGGGGTATGTTGAGAAGGCTTCACACCTGTGAGGAAGCAAAAAGGGAGTACAATAAATGCCAAATTAAGAAGTAGTGCCAGAAATAATCAATCCCATGGACATAGCTCATGTTTAAATTACCATCAGGTAGCAAAAGGAAAAAGAAGCAATTGCATTATGCATGTCATCGAAGGAAGATTTAACCAACATCACAACAACAAGACTTCAAAATGATCAAATCCCAGTTAAGCACTCATTACTTTCAAGGACCAAAGATTTGCGTGTGTGTTGACATCCACTTCATGACTCTAACCATATACATTAGCCTACTCAGCAACCCTTGGTTCATGCCAAGCTGTGCAATTAGCTTTGCTTTGAACATCACTTTCCTAAGCTAATACGAATTCCCTAAAAAAGAATACAAGGAGAACAACCACTAGCTGAGGCAAGCAAAATTAAGCTAGAGAGAATTCCCAGAGGTGCATATCATTCCTTGTTACAGCCAAAAACGTATTTTAGATAGAAAGCCCCATAATTTGACGAGGTGTACAACAAAATCCCTTTGCTCTTTTGTTGTAAATTATCAGCAAAAGAGACATACTTACCAGTCCATGTATGTCCCAATGAGGCCCCGTTCATAGATAATACCAAGCGTGTTATTCCCAGCATCTGAAGGAACGACATTCATAACCCACAAAGGGTACTTCGACAAGGCAGCACCAAAACCTCCTAAGCCTGCATTCATGTCCATGATATTACGGTATCTTCCCACTTTGAAAGAACTAAGCAAGCTTTGGTAATATGTAATTGCTTTGTTCCACAATTGATTATCATGGTAAAAAAACTTCGTAGAGATTCCTGCCATGGTTGCTTTTGAGATTCTAGGGGGAGCAGTGCTCAGCCTTTTTGGCCACTTCTCAAGAGCACCTCCTGCTACGGCTTTGAATGATTTCACCTTTGGAAGTGGTGTTATACACAATTCCATCCTTTTGTACCTGTTGGTGTTGAATAGCAAAGCATTAGAATGCAGTCCTCCTCAATAGGGAAAAAGTAGATGACAAGAATTACAGATCAATAAAACCATCAGAACGAGCATTATTATTCCTGAAATTCATGCAAGCGGAGAAAATCCACTTGGTGTTTTAAGATGCCTTTTGGAAATTCTGGCCAATCAGACAAACTCTGATTGTTACTCTGAATACCTTAAAGAAATCCTTAGGTCATTTTGCAAACACGAAGCAGTTTACCAATCGCACAATAAAAGATACTACTAGAACTAAGTTTCAAAACTCCCTTTATGATGCTTTCAGCTTTCCACGGATAAAAATCAGAGGAATTTCCATTAGTTTATGAAATTGGGGTTACAAGGCTTAAAAAGGGCAATGAGTAGGCCAGAAAGGATATGGTTGAAAATAGAGAGAAAAGATATGGAGATTTATGGCCCTTAATAAAGTAGAATGGTGGATCAGGATTCATGTAGCCGACCCCAATTAGTTGGGAAAAGGATTTGATGATGATGATGGTGAAATTGGGGGGGTTCCGTGTCAACTCCGAGAAATCAAGGGCATTTCTTACATTTAGAAGAAAAAGCAACAGGGTTGAGAGAGTAATCACCAGGCAGATTCAGGGTCAGTTGCCTCACAAAAAGGAGGGGACTTGAGAAGCTTTGATGTTTGGATGCAATGGACATGATTGGTGGCTTTCCTCCAAACAGCTATGGGACCCTTCTCGGCAATTTTCTTCCAACACAGGCGCCTCGCTAGATCCTCGATAGCTCCCTGCTCTTCCTTCAACTCTTGGGGCTGCATTCCCCAACCTTTATAGCTGTTTCTCCAGCTGATTGGTGGCCCTGACAGGACCCAATAGCCGCCCGGTCTTAAGATACGATCAATTTCCATTAGATGCAAGCCTCCTAAGCATTACATTTAAGAATCAGAAGTGCCATATAAAATCTAGTCTTCGAATCTAGTCAAGAAGACCAGAACAAAATTATCACCAATATGCACAAGGAAATGTAAATTCTCAAAGTCCCAACTTGAACTAAGAAGGGAAAAAAATCAAGTGACAACATTCCATTGGATTCTAACACTCCGGTATCCTTGTTTAGAGTGTTGGTTTTGAAGATATAGAGTGTGGCGATATTGCATTCCATTAGGAAACAACAGGAGCCTCTACTGATAAAGCAGTGACACTATTTTGGTTATTTTATACAAAAACCAGTTGCACTTGTAATTTTATAAGCATAGACAAGAGAAACACCTAAATTCCCTAAATTTGTCGCCATGAGAAATTACTAGTTCATCACCAAGTGAAGTTACCATGAGCAGTCCACCCAATTAGACACCTTGAACAATGAACCATATCGAAGGACCTTGAAGGATATGGAAGCCGATACGTGCTCAGTATTCCAAGCATCGCGGGTAGCCCACGTTCCAAAGCAAGCTGGACTTGAGCATGGTGTATGTCCCTTGGTGCGATGGACATTGTCAAAATGTCTAAGTCCAGCAGGTAAGCACCAAAGCTTGCAACCTGTGAAGGAAGGACAATAATGGATGGGTTTAGTTGTCACTGTCGTATTAATTGACATAAAAAAATAGCTGAAAATCCACAAAAGAGGAATGATTTAGAAGAAAAACAAACTTGCCATGAATTCAATAATGATTCAATTCGAAATCATTTAAAAGTAACAGAATAAATAATCAACCATTATATAAACCTTTCCTGGCTGCAAAGAACTATTGGTCTTGTTTGGTTTCAGGCGAGGAAGGGATACCTTCCAGTGATTCAACCACTTCATCTATGATGATCTAACTGCCATGGAACCAAGTTCTCCAAAACTCATGCCAAGACTATGCAAAACAAGATGGATTGTCATTTGTCACATAAAAGGTCATGATCAAGTAATCTTCACTACATATAACGTGATCAAAGCCCAGTGAAGGGTGGCATGCACACTTGCTGGAAAAGCTTCCAATGAAGAAAGCACCATCTCAACCTAAGGGAAATCTATAGAACAATGAAGTTGACTTTATACATATTCACTGTATTTCAAGGACTTAGACTAGAATTATCAAGAATGGTCCTTATGTATCTGATTAATGGCAGAACTGTAATCAAAATAATCACTAATAGTATAAAGAATTTCACTCGCACATATACAATTAATTGTAAGTTCATGACGCATTCCATTACCATTACAAAACCCAGTTTATCTAGAAACAGATAGCAACCTAATAAAACCACAAAAGTTACAAGATAAGCCATTTGGTTAAAACAACCAGACTTTGCACATACATTGGATAGGAAAGACAAGCCTCGTAGGAATCAAAGCACCCAAGTAACAGAATCAAAACAAACATAACTACTTTTCCAGTATGAAACCAAAACCAATTTGCAAATTTGACCATCAACAAATTTTCAAAAGCTAAAAATATTGGCAAAATGAGAGCACTCAAACGAAATCCCCATTCATCATGAACACGAAACAACCTTCCAATTTTCAAATTTGACTATGATCATACCCAGAAACTAAAGTTTCTTGACAGAAGTCGTACAAAACTAAAAGCAATCCTCAATACTCATTTGATGCGCAAAGGCATTAGAAGACACTCGAAAAGATTTTGAATTGTATTAGCAACAAGAAGAAGTTTGGGCTCTTCTTACCCCACACCCAACATCGAGAACAGTCCTCACATCACCATTCCTCAAAGGAACAAACTTCGCAATCTCTTCAATGTAAGGCTTCGCCCCTCCAGGGAAAGAAGTTCCACCTCCAGGGAATACCAACTTATTGTGATCCAGCCGAACCCAGTTCTGGTCAGCCTTAGTCTCAGTGAGCCTTTTGTAAGGTACATTCAGAAACCACACCATATCCCTGCTCTTTGGCCACCGAAATGGGGTCCTATACTTTGAAGGCACGGGGATCAAGCATCTCAGTTTCTCACTCCTCTCAGGACAGTGTCTCTCTCTGAAAAATAGCATATCAGTGTCAAATTTCTTCTCTCTCCGGGTGTCATGGCATGGACAATAGTCCCTGTACTTGGAATCACAGAACTGGAAGAAGTTGGGGATGATGGTCTCATTGTCTGATAGGTTTGGGACTGAAGGATCAGAGTGGTGGAATTCAAAATCAAAAAAGGGTTCAGTTTGGTGAACAGTAAGGAGTTCCAGCCTTACCCCATTACCAAAACAATCTGCAGTTGAATTGGAGAATGAGTTTAAGAGAAGAGAAGATGGTTTTTTGTGGAGATTTGAACCAAGCAAGTAGGATAAGAGGCAGAGGAGAGAGATACAGAAAAATCTGAAAATAAGATTCCTGTGAGTTGGGGTGGTTGGTGACCGTCTCTTGGCCATTTGAGTGGTGAATGGGGAGACCTTAGAAGTCTCAATAAAGAGAAATGGTGCATTGATAAATTATCATTTTAGACACAGGAGGGGAGAGTGGGCTTGCTCAGTGGACTGGCTAATCGTAAGGAGAAGGAAAATTGTTTCATGCGGCCTAGACCGCATTTTTACATATGCGGTTCAAAAAAAAGTACAAAGCATCTAGGTGTTCCATCTAAAAACAAACAATAGAAATTAAATGTCCAAAATGTTTTCTTGCTCTAAATAATTTTTTTAATTTTTAAAATTTATTAAATATCCAAATGTCTTAAAAACCATTTCAAAAGATTGATTTATTAAAGGCCCTCAATTCTACATATGCAGACCAATAACAGGAAGATGGGTCAATCACTTCCTTAGAGAAAGAGGTGGGTCACAGTCACCAGTAAAGGTCGAGAGAGAGGGTTGGGTCTGGGGTCATAACAATTGCTAGGTTTTAACAAATTTTCCAGTCTCGTTTACTGATTTGGGTTTTTACAAAATCCAGATTTGACCCACCTGTTTATTTGGGTCATCTTGAGACTCTATTTTTTAGTTGGATTCTTGAACAGTTTTTAAGAACATGGAGATCATGAATATGAAAAAATAAATAAATTTTAAAAATTTAAAACAATAATTTTATTGATAAAACATTTATACCGTTAGTTTCAATTATTTTTACATGGACCACCTTGCGTCCATCTTAAAAATCGATGTTTTGTATCTTGACAACCTCAAAGGTAGAAATGTGGTCCTCGCCCATAAAACAATCTTCCATTTAATAGAGGGATTGAAATAGTGTTAAGAAATGTGGATGGGGGAATTGCACTTCTGATCCCACTGGGTTTGATCCGGATTGGAAGCCGCCCTAGTCAGCTCGCCGGATGGCTTTTCAAACCCAACCTAATAAAAACAAAAAAAAACAAAAAACAAAAATTAGGGAATGCCCCATATGTAACATCTACCTCAAAAAAACTTTTAAAAGGAAAAGTTTATTTAAGGTGTCTACTGTACGAGTACGGTGCACCTAAAATACCCACAAAAAGAGGTTGTTTTTATGCTAAAAAACCCTCCAATCAATCATCTCAACTTTGAGATTAATAAACATGAAAAAAAAAAGGATTTCTAGTATTAAAAGTGCTTCTGACACATTATTTAGATTATCCATTTTCAATATTTTCAAGTATTTATAGATTTACTTGATCGTCATTAGTTTTGAAACTTTAAATTTCATAATTGGGGTCGATAATCAATTTTCATATATTTGCTAAACTTTGTGGCATCGAAACTGTATTTTTTAGGTGCACCGTACTTCAACAGTATAAGATTGACACCTTATACAAACCTCACCCAAACTTAAAAAAAGCCCTAGTTGAAATGTCTCTAACTTTAGTTACTAAAAAATGCATGTTATTTTCACTCACCCGTTCGGCACTTTGTTTTAGTGTAATTTAGGATAAAGGATGGGGTTTCTATGAGTCAGCCGGCCCACTCATATGTGGAAAGGACGGGTTTGTATAAGTCGGCCAACTCGTATGTAAGCCCTCTCTAAAATCTATTTAAAAGATGGAATTTTTGTTATTGATTCAACTAGGTCAACATGATCATGAATATAAAAATAAAATTATAATTATAAAATTAAAAATATATTTTTAAATGAAATTAAAAAAACCAATGGAAATTTCTATTTCTCTCTCTCAAATCTCTGTCGGAATTATAGAAACCTTTCCCTTATAAAACAGTATTTCTCGTGCATTTCTGCTTTAAGCTCCACCTATTGTATATGGAATGTATTCAATTAAATTTAAATCAAGTGAGTCATTGATTATTTGATTTAGATTCAATGCTTTATGGTATTTTATTTTTAAATTATATAAATATGAAATTAAATACGTGTCATCATCTCAATGAGGCACACCTAAAAATATATTTAAAAAATATTTTTGATAAAAATATAATGACCAAAATACCTTTACATTTTTTAAAGGTATTTTCATCATTTTATTATTGAGAATATTTTTTATATATTTTATAGGTGCTGAGTTTCATTATTTTTCCAAATAGTATGAGCTCTGAATTCCTTAGATACATAGCCCGTGGATGACCGGTAAAAATAGGATAGCGGCATTTTTTGGGCTCCAAATCAATTTTTTTCAAGGGAAAATTATACAGACCCCCTTAAATGTACTTTTTAGACATTAAGTCTCAACACTTTTCATATCACATCCCTAACTCAATTATTTTTTGTCCTTGCTTTTGGATCCCTAGTCAATTAAATAGTACGCTAAGGGCTAAACTACATTTTTAATCCTCCCTTACTTGTTAAAACTCTCTCCCTCTCTCTCTCTCTCTTTCTCCCCACTCATAATAGAAAAATGCGGTTCGGCACAAAAGTGTGTCGAATCGTAGTGAGGCTTATTGAATTTGAAGTCAGATTCCAATGCGACAAACATTTGTGTCGGATGGCTAGATCCTCTTTTGATTCAATACAAAAATGTGTCGGACCAGCTTTAGGCTTTGAATTCTATAAGCCTCACTACCGGACTGACACACTGTTGTGCCATAAAAGCATTTTTTCCTTGTTTTTGCCACAGTTCGATAATAAATGTGCTGGACAAAAAAAACATGGTAAAAAATACGATGCAGCATAAATTCTGTCAAACCGGCTTATAGCTTTCGATGACCGGTTCGGCACATGTTTTTGCCAAATCGAATTTTTGGCCATGTTCTTTTGATCAGACACTTGTTTTGTTATGCCTAAGCTAGACTGCATTTTTTGGGCAAATTCCACCGGTTTGGAAAATTTTGTGCCAGGCTGATTCCCATTTTTGCTTCAAGCAGCATGCCTCGTAAGTTGACAATACGTGTACTAAATATGGTAGTTTTGTCGTAAAAATATAATTTTTTTACTTGGAGGTAAAAGCGATGAAAAACAGTACTTGGATTAAAATTGTGATATGAAAAATATGAGGGGGTCGGATGTCTACAAAGTTTATTTCAATGAAGTTTCTATAATTTTCCCTTTTACTGGAGAGGAGAAGACCGAAATGATACTTCCTTCAATCTTTTGCCCGCTTTAAAAGTGGCTATCGAGGTCGGAAAACATCATAATCAATATTTTCCATAGACACAATAAGTTTACCAAGGGTAGGGGCCCTCTCCCCACTGACTCACCCAAAACAAAAAACAGAAAAAGAAAAATAAGATAAACTCCATGAAATGTATCACATTGTGTACATCCCATGATAGATAATAAGGATATAATTATTAATTTGAAGAGATTTGATAATAGAAGTGATTTGATTTCTCTCCTCAACCCGAACATTTATGATTGATTTGGCTTGCTTGATGAATAATTAGTAAAAGTATACAATGATGTTTGTTTATTTTTTGTACAAAAAAATCATAATCACTTTTAATTGTTATATGTGAAATTAGATTGTTGAAAGTATATTGTTAATCATGCTCAAAGTCTAATAAAAATTTTCTTAGACTTTGTGAAGATAAATGACACACCACAACCACTTGATGTGGCATTATCTTTCAGTTGAGGGTATTTGTGACCCTTGTGTAGAAAAGATAAATGTCTCATTTAACATAATACCTTGTTATTAAGGAAAACATTTATGTAAGGCTGACACTGACATCTTATGCTGTGGAAGTACGGTGCACACTATAAATCTACTTGAAAATGTTATTTTAAAGTGGAAAATCCTACAATTGATCATCTCAACCTCGATATGTACATAAAGGGGGAAAAAGAAAAAGGATTTAAAGTCTGAAAAATAGTACATCCGGTAACACATTATGTGGATTATTTGATTTTAAAAATGTTAAGTATTTATAGATCTGCTTGTTCTATAACAATTTTTGCGCTTTAAATTTCATAATCAATTATTAAAATATATGTTTAGGCCATCATAAGGGTTTTCAATATTGAAACTATATTTTTAGCAAGATTTAGAAGTGCATCTTATTTTGATTATTTAAAGTTGACACATTATACAATCCCCACCTATTATTAATCCATTGACATTCTTTCAACATTACATTTAATTGACATTCATTCAACATATACATTTAATTAATTAGATTCAATTTTAAAAAATAAGGAAATTTTATTGATATTCTCTCAATTTGTAGCATATTTTCCCTCAATACTTTTGATACCACAATATTACTACTAACGCTATTGTTCTTTGCAACCACACTCAAAGTAAAAAAGTTAGTTTTTTTGGATCAAAATATGTTTCTCCCGTTTTAGCCCATGTTTCCAAAATATGATGCCCAATGTGAAAGGAAAGTATATATTGTGCATTAGGTTAATATGAAAGGCATATATTATAATCAGTATATATAGGAAGGGTAGGTACATGATCATTCGTATATATATTGATTATAATATATACCTTCATATTAATATGGTACATAATATATACTTTCTTTTTACCCCCAACATGTGTTACTCAAGCACAAAAGTATACCGGACCAACACAAGTTGCATATAGAGCTGGACTAGTACAAAAAATTGTGTTGGACTAGCTCTATACAAGAGTGGAAAACATGAGAGGGGGGAGGGGGGCAATGCCTACAAAGTACAAATTGAGAGTACCTATAATTTTCCTTTTAAAAAACCAAGGCAAATCCCTTTGTCTCCCTTCAAAACAACAAAACAAGTTGTCAAAACTTTGCTTTTTTAGTTTAAACCAAAATCAACCAAGTTAAATGGCCTTCCCTACATTCCGTAAGGGGCTACATTAGATGGAGCCTTGACCATGCAACATGCTCTAATTCCAAAGTTTCGAGCTTAAGACATGGGTTTTGCGAGAATTAAGCTGTTTGGTTTCTAGATTAACTTGACCACTTGAAGTTGGTTGAGGTGTCGAGTTAGTAAGTCTAAGATGATTTATCTTCTTTTTTTTCCCCACCTTTCAAACTTAGTTTGTGGGCTTAGGAGCCCATCAAATAGGGGTGATAACCGCTGGCAATGTCCGGCTGGACCTAGACCTAGACTCGAAAAAACTTATGGCACCCGGATCCGACTAGACCCGATTGAACTCGATCCAAAAATAAAAGAATATATATAGTTTAATATATTTTAATATCATATTATATATATAGATTATTATTAAAATATTATAATTAAAAATATATAGTTATATTTATTTAAATATTATATATTAAATATTAGTTAAATAATAACATCATTCAGATCGAGGTCCGAGTCGGGTCCACATGGATCAGACCTGAATAGCATTCGGGTCCGGTATTTGGACCTAGACCGGACTCGACCTGACCCGACCCATCGGGTATAATTTTTGGACCCATAATCGAATCCAGGTCAGGTCGGGGTCCATTGCCACCCCTACCATCAAACACTTGTACCACTTTTCGGTTCAGATTGAGTTGAAAAGTTGTTGTGCCCCATTTTAGTAATATGGTCCCCCACCTTTATACATTGAACAAGTCATGAAAAAGTGAAAAGGAGTCATTACTTGACATGCTTCTTTAAAGGAGCGGTAGTCATGAGTCTTCCATGAATAATGAAATGGGATTCCATTTCTTTGGCGTGGGAAATAAGAATAATGCCTTTTTTTTTTCTATAGTATGGGTCAGCTTGGGAATACCATAATAACCAAATTTCAAGAAAACAAAATTGCTTGTGTTTGGTATGGAAAAGCTTATGGAAAAGTATGGACCATTAACTTTTAGTATAAACAGGTTGCAATTATTTTTGTTTATTTGATTTCAAACTTGGTAGTTGTGAGTATGTTATTGACTAGATTCAAAATTAAAAAATAATTACTAGAACTTCATAACACACTCCAAGCCACAATTTGACATTGAATAGTTAGGAATGTTTGTGGCCTCCTTGTAACAAAGATAATGATCTCGTAGTATAAATCCTGTTTGTTATATAATTCTCTATGTTTAAAGGCACATCTCTGTTTGGCTACTAAAATTGTTCTTATGGGCATAATTAGTTATATGCATTTGGGGCCTATTGTTGTTTGATTTTAATGGGACACTTAGCAATGAGTCGACAATAATATCTTATATTATTACAGTTTGTCAAGAACATCTATTATTAGTTTGTGATATTATTGTCGGTTTTACTCCCAACTATTTGATCAAATATTGGGCGATGATTGTTAGTACCTAAAACCACACAAGTGTAAAAAAGAATCAATGCAGGGTAGAACTAATAGTGGTTATTGTAAGGAATCAAAGCAGTTTAGAGCAACTCATTGTGAACTGCAGGCCGTCAATGTGATCTAAAACCAATAGTTTTGCATCACTTTAATTCTGCTCTTTGTAGGACATTAATGTGATCCGAAACTAATATGCAAAAAAATATTAAAAATACTAAGATACATTAATATTAAAAAATATTAATGTGATCCAAAACTAACATACATTAATAGATATAGGTGGGAAAGGGCAAATTTTAAAAATATTTATTAGCAAGTATTGTATTACAAAATCCCATTTTTCTTGTGAAATCAACGGTTTTGATTTATTGCGCTTTTGTAGGGGCGATGATTTTGCAAGTGGCATCATCCAGCAGATTATGCGTAATTAAACATTTTATTTTGGGTTAATTAAATGAGTCCTTTTTTTCTTTTTTTTTCTTTTCTTTTTTTTTTGGGATAATTTAATGGAAAAACCCCTGCCCATTTTTGAAGGTGTCTAATAGTTGAGATGACATTTTGTCTTTTTAAAGACTTATTTGGAATCGGCTTCTCAAGGGTCCCACCTTGCCACGGACACAACGAAGCAACTGAGGTAACATTTGAATAAGGAAAATGTTTATGTAAGGCGTCAACTTTATACTATATAGGTAAGGTGCACTTAAAAAAGAAGATTGTTTTTATACCAAAAAATCTGCAAATCGATAATCTCAACCTCGAGATTCATGGCATAAAAAAAAAAAAAAAAAAGTTTATAGTCCTAAAAATAATTATTCTAACTCATTATCTAGACCGTCCACTTACAAGATTTTCAAATATGTATAGATATGTTTGACCATCGCTATTTTTTAAAATTTTAAATTTTATAATGGGAGCAGCGATGGATTTTCATAAAATCGCAAGGCTTTATAGCATGGAAACTGCATTTTGGGCACGGTTTGGAGGTACACCTTATTTCAATAGTATAAGGTTGACCCTCTGTCTCTTCAGTTGATGTCAAAAAGAAAAGTGGTGTCTCCTCTCTCATGATGCAAACCGGTTTTTTTTCGTCTCTTGAAAAAAAAGCCTCTCGCTTTTTTGTGCGCTCCAACTTTAACTTTGAACATTGACTAATACATATCGTGTGGTTCGTATAAGGCCGAGGTCTTAAACAATAGAAGTAGGCAATACCTTCAAAAAGTGTTGAAATATGTCGTTTCAGTGTCAAAAATCTTTATGATGGCCTAACAATTTATTTTCATCTTTTATTATAAAAATAGAAGCCAAAAATAATGAATCAATCCGATCTTTGAACGTTTGAAAATCTAAAAAATTGACGGTCTAAATAATACATTACACGATGTACTATTTTCAGAACTTGAAATTTATATTTTCTCATGTCCATACATCTTGAGATCGAAATGATTGAATTGAGGGTTTTTCAATATCGTAACAACATTTTCTAATAAATTTTTAAGGCATGCCTTAATTTGATAGTTCGAGGCCCTATCTTAATATAAACTTTTTTTTCTTACATAAATGATATGATATGAATATATATGTATGTACACTTTTGCGGCTACTTTTTTTTTTTCTCTACTTATTTCTTTTATGCTTTTTCAACTATCTCATTTCATTTAGTTTTCATAACCCAAGGTCAATTCTAATCGGACTAAGGAGATTTTTGAGTAAGATTAGGTGGTAGTGTTATTTTTCTATTCCGGTCCAAAGTAATTATGAATGAGATTGACGGTTTTATTAAAGCAATTATTAATCATATAGACGATTTCTAGAAGAAATTTAGAATAAGATCAACGGCGACTAAAACACTCATCGAGAAGTGCGGGGTTGGTGGCTCTTAGAACCAAGTTCTACCATGCCATATAATAAAAATCAAATTTCATAACAAATTATTATTATTTTTTTTCTTTTTTTTTTGCTTAATTTTTTTTGCTTTTTTTCTTAATAATAAGAATCAAATTTCATAACAAATGACCTTTCCTAAAGGACGGTTGAGAAATATCCTTGCAATTTTTTATTTAATAATAACAAGGGAGCTAAAAAAGAAATTTAAGGAATGAACAACCCAGCTGCTACATGCTCTCGCTCTCTCTCTCTGTCTCTCCATTAGCTCTCTTCTGGCGCAATCCCGTTTCGTGAGGGAGGGTTGACCCGCTGTATATATTCCTACTTCGTTCTTATAGATTTATAGAGAGAGAGAGAGGAGGGAGTCCATACTCCTTAGGTGGTAATTTAGAGAGAGAGAGAGAGAGAGAGAGAGAGGAGGGAGGTCCATACTCCTTAGGTGGTAATTTAGTAGGGAGAGAGAGCTAGGTAGCACTGAGAGAAGAGAGGAGAGAGCGTGGGCGAAGTTAGTAGAGAGAGAGAGAGGGAGGGGGGGAGGGAATGGGTAGGAAGAATGGTGTATTGGGAATTGGAGGAAGCAATGGAGTTTGTTTGTCTCGGAGGACACTTGTGGCACTTGGGTTGGGTCAGTTTTTGTCTCTGTTGATCACTTCCACTGGTTTTTCTTCCTCACAGCTTTCCCGCAGAGGTAATTTAATCTCATTTCCTTTTTCTTTCATGGTCCTGTTTTCATTGGCTTCTCTCTCTCAATTTCTTCATTCTTTTGTTAGTTTTGTTGCTTAGCTTTGCATCACTTCTCATCTTCCACTTATTTGTATGGTTCGTTATGGACTTTTGATGGATGGTTTAGTCATTTTTTATGCTGATTTTCTTCCATTTTTCAGTATAGTAATCTGTGTAAATTGTTCTCTTGTTTATTTTGATAACTCAATTGGGGTGTCAATCTGTTTTTCTTTTCTTTTTTCTGTACTTCTTTTGGCTAATGATGAACATGTTCAGCTGTTTTCATTTGCTTCAGTCTCTTCTTTGTTCCTCAACATCACATTTATATGTTTTATTCTATATTTTGGCTTTCTTTGCACCAGTGCCGCACCTCGTTAATGTGTTGGTTTTTTTATTCGTTCTTCAGCTATAGGTCTCTTCTTAATCTACTAAATTCTTTTGGGTTGGCGATGAATTGTTGAATTGGGTTTGTTCTTTTAGGGATCAATGCACCGACTTCACAGTCTTTTCTTAATTACGTACTTTTGGCCGTTGTTTATGGAGGTATCATGATTCATCGCCAGAGAGGACTGCTGGTAATGAACCCTTCTCCTGTTGCAACTTAACTGCTTCTTTTCTTTTTTCTTCTTTCCTTTCTTTTAGTATAAGCTGGTCTTTATGAGCATTGGTCTCTGACCTCTTGATTTGTGAATAATTGCATGGTGAGAATAAATCCTAAATCTCATTTTTCAATTTTCATTATTGTTTACGTATTACAAACTTGGTAACTGATTGTTATGAGGAAATCTCTACTGCTTGTTCCAAATTTTGTAGATGAAATTAGGCTTCTAGTGTATGTATAGTAACAAATATACTGTTGAGATTAGATGAGGGCATGCATGTATGTTATATGTGCATATGCACGTTTGTATGCATATGACTCCAGTTGCCTTCTCTCGAACAGTTATTCCCAAGCATGGGTGGTGGATTTGCTCATTCATGAGGTTAATCTGATGAATAGCTCATATTAAATTGATCTCAATGGGTGTTTCCCTTCTAAGGTACTTCGCATATGGAAAATATGATCCAGCAAGAGTTTGGTATGATTTATAGTATAATTTTGCTATATTGATGCAGTACTTACACACCCCACCATGAGTAAAATAAAATAGACATTCATATCTGTCTACTTACACACCCCACCATGAGTAAAATAAAATAGACATTCACATCTGTCTGTGTAACCTTAAAAAGGAGAGATTTCCTTTGCTTTCTAAGGTTAGTGAAAACCTACAGTTCTATGACAGAGTCTTATTGATTTCCGTTGAATAATGATACATTGGCATATGACATGGTACACAAATTTAAAAACATGCAAATATATAGCATTATGTTGCATCTCAGTGTTAATATTCTTTTTTTAACTCTTCCAACTTGTTTACTTGGTGGAAGATTTCTCAATCCAATTTTTTTTATAATTATGGATGATGTGGTGGTCCTATCTTCTGGGTTGCTATTTGTTTGTTTTATCAGGAGTTTGTTGCTTGCTGTCCCCTGTTGATGCTTTCATTTCACTTTTTGTGCAGTGTCCCCTGTTGATACTTCCATTTCACTTTTTGTGTAGGCAAAATGGTATTACTACCTTATGCTGGCTGTAGTTGATGTCGAAGCTAATTATCTTGGTAAGCAAATATGGACTCCACCAATTTGCTTCTGGTGAACAAATTTACTTGTAATTTTTTCAGTCATAGTCCAATCTTTCATGGATTTCTGACAAGTAATTATTCTTGTTTAATTAAATTTGTATTAGCAGTCCAACAATAATTGTTATTTCAGTTTAGTTGAATGAGATTTCTGAAAATTAAGTGTAACACATTAATCATCATCATCTGATTCTTATCCAACTATTTGGGGTCAGCATTAAGTGTAACACATCACTTGAGGAATTGTCCTTTGAATCAATTCAAGTGTGGGGACGAATTCTCCTGTACAAATATTTCTATTTGGGAGTTGTGCATTGCCTTATGATTTGAGTGCTGATAGTTATGCCAATGGAAACTTAAAAATGTCCAACATTTATTTCATGTAAATTCTTCATGCTTTAGTGATAATTCACATTTTATGTAAACCACATGGAAAGTGTCCCTGTTATGATTAGGATTTACTACTTTTACATTCTCTGAAACTCTTGCTGGCCTCAGCTAGTTTGTGAAGAGAATGGATGCCTCATTTTATTCATCCAATTAGAATTTATTGTTTAATGATAAATATCCGGTACTACTTGCTATATTTGTGTAGTGGTGAAGGCCTACCAATATACATCAATAACAAGTGTTATGCTGTTGGATTGCTGGACTATTCCATGTGTTATATTTCTCACTTGGATGTTCTTGAAGACAAAATATAGATATAAGAAGTTACTTGGTGTTGCTATATGTGTTGGTGGACTTGTTTTGGTCATATTTTCAGATGTCCATGCAGGTGATAGAGCAGGTAATTCTTTCTAATTCTTTCTTGATTATTCAATAATCATTTAGCATGTTCTTCATATATTTTAAAAGCTTAGTTCATTGCTGTCCCATCTATTTATATGACTGCAATTATGAATTTATGATCATTTACCATTTTGCATGCCTTCTAGGAGGAAGCCACCCTGTGAAAGGAGACATGCTTGTGATTGGAGGCTCTATGCTTTATGCAATTAGTAATGTTGGCGAGGTATACTTTTAATTTCTGAACTGTATCTGAATCACATGCACTATAGGTATCTTTTGGTTAGAATTGATTGTCCTGGATTGGAATGACTTTTTGTTGTTTATTGCAAATATGTGGAGGGACGCTCTTTCTAAAATTTGTCAAACAGGCGGGCCTTGCTTCATTGACCTCATGGGTACAGCAGAAATGTGATATTCATAGGAAAAGGGCATGACCCTTATATACAAACATTGATGGATAAAAAATGCCTTTAATAACAAAAATGGACATCGATGGAAATACAATGCTCCACTCCTTACTACTTTATCAGTCTTTCGAGACTACACTCTTATTCAATTTATAGGTTTCTCAACTGGAGTTCGCAAATCTCTCTCTCTCTCTCTCACAATTGATACCATCATCAGCTAAAGCAGTCTTGCAGTTAGGGTGGCCTTCTGCTTGAGGGTCTTCCTTTTGAGATTAGTGAATCTTTGGGGATTGTGATTCCACAAAATCGGAAACATGGTTTATGTAGGCCTGCATCACCAACCTTGGTTCATGTGCAATGGCAGTTTTCAGATTCACATCTTTGTGGCTATTAATCTATTCTTCTGATTCTTATTCCAACCAAAACAGAAAGTCACGAATGACAAATAAACATTAGGATTCTAGTCATGCCAGTAGTTTGTCTTGGTTATATGTTCTCCTCAAGTTTAAGAGCAAAGATCTCCAGCATATTTATCATGATTGGACTGGCTACTGGATTGATAAGGGTATAAAAACCAATTCAATTACCAGTCAAACCATTCAGACCAAATTTATAAAAAAAAGAAAATAAAAATAATAGTTTTAAAAATGTGAAATATATTAGAAAAAAAATCTCTACTTTGTTTAGAACCGTACGGTCCTTCTGGCGAAAACTTGTCAAACACTGATTTTCAACCAAATATGGTTTTTTGCTTTAGGCTAGACCCGCCAATGCACTTGCCGGCGGTCTAATCGGTCAGACCAGGTGGTCTGGTCCGGTCCGGTCTGGTCTTGATAACTATGATCTCCAAGACTGAGAGTGCTGGTCAGTTAGGTACTTAGGTCTGAAGTTGATGATATCTTTGAGTTTGAGAATATAGGTGGTTTTCTCAAAGATTCCCTTTTTTTGAATTTTTCTCAAAGTGCCTCCACTTCGGACTTTCAAGATCCGAAATAAATTTTTTAAAATAATGGTCTTGACCTTCAAGATGCAAACTATCTCAAGGTCCAAAGTCAAGACTTATATCTCAAAAATATATAAGTATTGGTTTTTAACCTTCAAGGTCCAAAGCAAATGTCCAAAGCCAAAGACTTTGCGTTTGGTAGTTATTCTAGGATAGGCTTCAACTTTTTTGAGGTCTTTGGCTTTAAATCTTCAAGACTGATATAAGACTTGGCTCTGAATCTTCAAGGTCCATTCAAAAGATGACTTCGGATCTTGAAGGTCCAAAGTTAAGAATTAAAAAATTAGCTTCGGTTCTTTAAGATCCGAAGTCACCACATAAGTTATGACTTGTGGATCTTAAAAGTCTGACGTGGGGGAATTTTGTAAAAATATTAAAAAAAATAAAAGAAGGGGTACTGTTGTAATATATAGTGGGGGACATGATCTTAGGTCGAGATGATCAGGTTTTCAAAATTGGAACAACCTTTTCGGGTGGATTTTTAAGATGCACCGTACTTTTATGAATATAGTGTTTTTATTTAGTGAACTTTTTAATACTGTTACATTGTTATGCAATCTAAGTGTCTAACAAATTATATGCTTAACATGGTAGCATCATGTTTTAAAATCCATTTACATCCCACAGCTGCCACTTGCATGTGGAGGTATGGGTTTGCTTTTTAGCCCCTATAGCTATATAATTACGTGCGGTATTCATGGTTTTTTTGCTCGAGTTTCAATTTGCGTGTATTGTCATACACTTTAATCTATCTTCTTTAAGTTACTTACTGAATACATTACATTTCTTTTAGGTGACTACCCTCTAATTCTATAATTATTATAATGTAATTAGTAGGCAGAGGTGAAATCACTATGGTGTCATGTTGTTTTTGTTGATGCTGACTTAGTATCTACTAACTTTTTATGCAGGAGTTTTTCGTGAAGAACATCGATAGAGTTGAACTCATGGCAATGTTGGGTACCTTTGGAGCTGTTGTCAGTGCTTGCCAAATGTATCCTTGAGTCAATGGTTTGTCCACACTGTTAAGCAATGTGTGCACTCAAGCAAGCCATTTGAAACTTGAAACCAAGTAGTCCACATGAATCTGGTTATAGACTATAATATCTGCACACTTTTGTGACAACGAATAATCTACATCTCCATTACTCGAAACTTCCAAGTACTTTAGTTGGCTATTTTATTCTGTAATGGAAAATTTTAACCTTTGCATGTCAAGTTGTGATATGTCCTTTTTGCTTGGGTATTATCCATGGTTCTTATAATGTCTTGCCAATATTAATGACCTATTGATCTTCAACGTTTAACACAGAGTTTGTTGTGCTTTTTTTAAGGAAAATCTTATGCAGCCACTCACTTTCTCATCTAAGTCATCCGATGGAGATAATTCTGAAACATTTACACAGTAATACTTTCTAGGAGAGGTGCAGAGCATCTGGAATTGATGAAATTAAGTGATCACATAAAGTAATGGCATACTTTTTTGGTGTTGGTTGCTTAACAAATTTGCCGCATAGATAGATGTGTATATTCACCCTTTAGGCCTCGAAAATAATGTTAGGTCATGGCATACTTCTTTGGTGTGAGTGTTCTACAAACTAGCTGCATAGATAGAAGTGTGCATTGATTCTATGGGCCTCAAATAGTGATGTGTACTTTGATTTCCTTGATTTCTTCCTAGAAGTATACTTGAGCGTCAAGAGCTTCAATCAATTAAGTGGACAGCTGCTGCTGTAATTATTCTCTCTCTCTCTCT